GTTTTCATGACTTTATATGTTTAGGTGGATGTCATGGTGAGAGGTATACTGCATCAGGGACATCAGAGGGACAATAGTGTCCCGAACAAAGCTGCTTCTTTTTCCTTCATCTAAAACCACCCTAAGAAAATGTGTTTGTCCTTTTAACTTTTGTATCAGAGACCCGTTTAAGAAGAAAGAAAAAGAAAATCCCTTTATTGTCCCACAATGGGGAAATTCTCTGCATTTGACCGATCCCCTTGGGGAGCAGTGGGCTGCCATTGTGTGGTGCCTGGGGAGCTTCCAGCTTTTTTTTTTTTGTCATTACACCGCCACAAGTACGAAATGAACTCTCTGCATTTAACCCATCTCCTTATGGAGCAGTGTGGGGATAAGGGTTTTGCTCAGGAACCCAGAGTGGAGGCTGTGGGGATCAAACTGGGTAGTTGCAACCTTCTCAGAGCACAGGCACACTCCCCTTCTTTACTTCACTTATTTTCCAAATATAAATGACTTGATGCTTCCAGCATTAAGAGGTTGGATCTGATGTTAATTTATAGATTTTGAGAGTCCTCCTTCATACCAGAGAAGATCTGAAACCAAACAGTTTCTGGTGGAAATGGTTGGAGCCTGGAGCAATGAAGAAGTTAGAGTGGCAGACTGGATCAGAATAGCAGTTATCAAATTTACTGGACAAACCGGACTTTTATCCACTTGTTTGATAAAGAATTTTGGTTCTAAAAGGAAAATAAGAGAACTTAGGACAGCTGAATCAGATAATTAGGTCAGCGCTAGGGGACCAGAGCGTTTACCGGCTGGATGCATGTCCCTAAAGGATGAACCGGGCTAATGTTCAAAGATCCAAACAATGGTTCTGACCGTGTGCCTGGTGCCAAGCAGCATCATTCTGGATGAGGAGTCCACCTGCAATCAGAAGGTTGTGGGTTTGACTCCAGCTCCCCTGCAGCCACACGTCCATGTCATGACATTAGCATATTAAAAGGCTCAAAGCTGCAGCTTCAGTGTAGCTGTAGTAGTCGCCATGGTTACATGAGCCATGTGTGAGTCCATCTGCTTCCAGTTTATCTTCAAACCAGCAGCTCATTTTAACCCAATTTTTCTTCTTTCTAGAGCCTTCTTCATGCTGCTGGGATCAAAATCTGAAGAGATTTTGTGACCCAATTAGCCAGTTCTGTTCTAATAAAAAGGTTTAATCAGTTGGTCGACTGGAGGTGGATCCAGTAACTTCTGAACCAACAAAAAAACTCCTTAAACATACAAAAAAAAAAAGGAGGAAGCGTTTGGTTGCTTTAATTTTTAAACCAAGCTTTTATATAATTACTATAAAATATTAGGCTTGCAAATATGTAATTTCTAACAATCAAAAGATCCAAGTTTTATCATTAGGGATTAATAAAACTAAAAGATCGATATTCTAAATCAGACATAAGCTCATTACTTGACAGCACTGTTTGTATCCTGGAGGTGAGGAAGCAGACGGAGGAGATGCCAGAGAGCCGCATCCTGCGACTCTTCAGCTCGCAGACGACATGAACCACACATCAGGCTTTAGTGCATCGTTTTATTAATCAATACAAAAACACGACTGTATCCACTGGTGCTGGTTGCACTACACCCACCCAGCATCAAGATCCACCACCCACTCCTCCACCCACAGCCGACAACAACAGCTCAAAATAACTTCCACAGTACGTCAGGCCTGGCAGATACCTGAACCTAAAAACTACAACTTAGGAAAGAAATCCAAAGGTTTTACAAAACTAACAAACATGCCCCATGAGGTCATCAGGCAAAGGTTCCAGGAATGCTTATAATGTCTTCACCGCGTCGTCGATTTCTGAGATCTGTTCCTTTAGTTGGTTCCACTGTTCTGGGTTCAGGGAGATGCCTGAAATGACAAAAACAAAAAACAGAGAGTCACCTCAACTGCAGAACCCAACAACATCCGACCGCTGAAGCGTGTCATGATCATCACCTTTCTTCCCTGGTTTCATCTCCCCGTCCTGGTTCATCCAGTACTCCCTGATGTCGATCAGGACTTTGCCCTTGAAGTCTCGAACGCTGACGTATCTCATCTTTCCGATCTGTGGGGGGAGGAGAGTCAGACCCGCTCCAAAACTTTTTACTTTTCCCGTTTTATGGGATGTCTGGGCAGCTTCTGGGTGGGAATACATTGTCTCCACATGTTCCAGAAACAAACTTAGAAGCTTAAACTGTTTCAGCGAGTTTAAAACCAGCTCATCTCAGCCCAATCTGATGACCTACTTCCTTTTTTGCCCAACTATACTGCAATACTACTGCTTTTCTTAAAAGAAATGCATTTCACCTTCACTGGAGCAGGAAGGTAAGACAGACTAACAAAGGAGTAAGGTAAGCTATTTTTAAACCCAGAAGAAACAGCTCAGTCTGAATCCAAGTCCATAATATCTAATATCTTATTTTAAGGAAAAAAAAAATCATGGTTCCTTTGGCAAATCATCTTATTTAGCTGCTCGAATTAAGAGCAAATGCACTGATTTCACTTCCCTTCAGCTCAACAATTTAAAATGCTGCTGTTATCAGTGGGCTTCTGTTACAGCTGGCTGGGTTTTAATAGACCAGAGCTCTGCAGCCGGTGGCTCTCTGGACCTTCAGAGTAGCTCCTAACAAGCAAGCAGTGTTTTTAAATATAGATTAACAAATAATGCATTAAGCTAAATGTTTTCATTTCTTTTTTAAATAAATAACCGCTCTGAAAATGTGAAAGAAAAGGACCTTAAAGCAGCAGAAAACTGCTGTGGGAAATGGGGGACATAAAAAGTTCTGGGTAACCAGAGAAGCTTAGAGAGAAACCAAAAGTCAGTAGGAGATCAGGTAAATCAGCAGAGGATCCATCCATTTGGGATTAAAAGTTCAACCTTAAAGGAGGCCTGCTGATGATGACTGAAACCTTTGGTCCTCTGGTCTCCCCATGTAGGCGAATCTGCTTTTAGTGTCTTCAGCTCACCTGGAACATGTTGTCGTTTCCATTGCCGCTGCCTTTGGAAGAGCCTCCAGGTTTGGAGCTCTCCCCACCTTTTGCTTTCTTAGCTGGTTTTTCTGGAGCGCTTGGCTTCTTTCTTTTGGCCTAGGAACAAAAATGAACCTCCATCATGTTGCAGACAGAATTAAATCATGTAGTTCCTGAATTGTATGGAAACGCGCTTCAGAAAACAGAAACTACAAAAAGAGCACATTTCTGTGTCTCTCTGTCCCAGTTTAGGGATCAAGGGTCTGAATATATTTCATTGCTGGAAGGTTAAGAAATAAGTTTTCATTTAGGATCAAACCTTGGTCTCTACTTCACTGTCAGAGTCGCTTCCAGATGTGGAGGACAGCACTTCCTTTGATTTGGGCATTCTGCTGAAACATGGAGCAGAATAAAACACACTTCAGATGATCCTATTATAGATCCCTCTCATTGTAAGATCACAACATAACATCCAGGAGAATATGGA